CGGCACAGCTATATACACCTAGAATTTGAGGGCTGAGGGAAGAGAATTGTAAGTTTGAGTCTAGTCTGGAATACATAAAAAGACCTTAAATGCTTAAAAGAGTAAAGAAAAATGAAAAAAACAGCAAATAGAAGGAGTTACTGAATTGGTTGTCAAAGAGCTTGCAGTTTGTCTGGCAGATAAACTAACAAAGCAGACAGAAATGAGCAGCAGAATGTCAAATGGTTTAGTAAAGGGCAGGGAAAGCTTCACAGAGAGATAAACTGAGGAAGCACTCTGATGGGACATTCCTGTGAAAAGTGCCCTGGCTTAAAATAGAACAGTAACCTGTCTACAGGGTCACAGGAAGCTGTGCAGAGTCAGAGCACAAGACACAGAGGAATGCGATAACAGACAAAACAAAACAGATAGATAGGGCCTGAAAGACCAAGCTACAATATCTGATTTCAGTCTGCTAAAAAACTCAAAAGGGCTGTCCCAACCACAAAAGCTCCCCCATCACAGGAATTATATAGTTTTGTGTCCCACAGACCCTGTTGGTAAAGCTAAATCCTAATGCTCTGTTCTCAGAATGCAAAAAAAATAAAATACGTAGAATTCTAAATAATTCCAGAGATAGTCCACACTTCAGCAGTACAACACAATGGAGCACCTTGGCACCTGAGAGAAAGCACCAGCAGGAAAACCACCATCACCTTCCTTTTGCCTTAACCCTGAAGCAAATCATCTAACCTAGGGAAGTCACCCTGACTCTTCCTACCCTTGCCCCACTAAAACAGATGATAGGATCCTCACTGGAGAGGTGGTCCCCTATGACCAGGGGAAAGGGACCACTATTACACTCTCTCAGATGCCATGAAATATTGTATTTATCACTACTTTCATATTACCATAAATAGATCTGCCTGGAGAAATTACACAATGTGCCTGGCATGGCAGTACATACCTACAGGATCAAGAGACCCAGAGAAGAATCTGAGCAGACATGACTTGCTAAATTCCCATTCCTTTATTGCAAGATCACACCCTGTTATCTAATCATATTTCTCCATTACTACCTACTTCTCTACTGAACCTAACATAAAAAAATGCAAGCTTATCTGTTTCTTTGGGCTATTTTCTTATAAAGACTCCATGACAAGCAATACTTAAATGTGTGTGCCTTTGTCTTGTTACGTTGCCCTTTGTCTTAGCAGCCTCACTCATGAATCTATGGATGAGGGAAGAAAAGAAGCCTGTTCTCTTATACTTCCAAAGAACAGTTCAAAAAGAGGAAAAAGAATAACTTTATAAGGGTGGAAAACCTGGAAAGCACTACACTTCTTCTAGGGGATCGAGATTAACAACAGTGATCAATGTCAGTGAAAAGGACCCTTGATAAAGAATATAATGAAGAGGCATATTGCCCCTTTGACCTTAATACCAAAAAGGTATTAGCTAGCCTAAGCACTAGAGAAACATCAGGCAATCAAGATTTAAGGAGATGCTATAAAATAAACACTATTCTTCAGAACTGCCAGGATCATTTAAAAGCAAGTTTGGGGAAATTGATAAAAACCAAGTGAGAAGAAAAGAGACATGATTACTAAATGTAGTTTTAGAGAGAGAGATTAAGAAAATTTAAGTAACAACATTACTAAAATTACATGTTAGCATTTGCACAACTGTTGAGAAAACATACATACTAATTAAAAATTGTAATATGAGAAACTGGATATAAAACATATATACCATCTCTGTCATAACTCTATAAACTGAAAACTTTTCATTTAAAAGGTAGAATGCATGGGATTAGAAAAGAAACAAATTACAATCAAATTATTGTTCTTTAAAAACAATCTGTGGTACAGTAATATAGCTATTTGTCAGTGCATTACATTTTTTTAATTATTTTTGGATTTTTATGACAGGGTTACACATGGTCTAGGCTGGCCTTGAGCTTGCTATGTAACTGATGATGACCTAGGAACTCTTCATCCTTCCAAGTTCTAGGATGCAGGCATACATGCATCACCAAGCCTGGTACATTAAGGAATATGTATAAGCAGGTCTAATTATGGCAATTTCAAAACAGTGATAAATACATTATTTCAAAAAGTCTCAAACTGTCATAATAAGTTTCCCTTCGTACCAGATCCTAATTTGAATATCGAAGTCTGTAAATGCTTAAGTCCCTTATAAAGATGGCACACTATTTGCACACAACATACACACATTCTCTAGTATACTGTAAATCACCTCTGTGAAATGTAATAAAAATTGTATATTATTATTTATGTAATAATGAAAGAGTGATGAGTCTGTGTGCATTCCAAATGCAAGTTTCTTGAATTACTTTCTATCTGCTGCTGGCTGCATCCATGAATATAGAATCCACAGAGTACTCAACCTTATGAAATTATGTGAAATTTCCATAGCAAGAGTCAAATGCACAGCTAGCATTTCAGTAGCTTGTAATCTACAATTCAAAATGAACAAACAGGGCTTTCCTTCTTGGCCCCTCCCACTCTCAAGAGGGTTTTTTTTCACATTTTCTTAATAAATCTGCTCTGTAGAAAAAGAAAACGAATAAATGAAAAATTTCATTTACAGCTTAGTAAAAATAACTGTTTTTCTGTAACATGTTCAAGGACCTGTGCTACATCTATTCATGGCCATACATTAGCACTCCATTCTTGAGTACTAACATGAAATGGATACCTTGTCACAGAATCTCTGATAATCACTGTGTACACTTCTTGTTGCTAAACCCTCAGCCACAATATCATTCCACACATTTCTTAAAGTCGTGTGCCCAAAGTGGATTCCAATGACAATGTGATTCCTACAGAAGCCTGGCAAATACTTCTAAAGGATTTTCCAGATTCAAGTACAGCAATTTTTTGAGCAACACTCGATAACTGACCAATGTTTCTACTAAACAATCTATTTATGAATCTTGTTGAAACATAAATAATTGCTAAAATTCCATCGGAATTATCACCATGGAATTTAGTGGCACAGCTAACTTCCCAGAAGGGCAAACCTGAAAGGTCCTCACCCTCATACACACCTACAGAATGGAACTGGATTCCGGTTTTCAATTGTCAGAACCCCAGAGTGCCTTCCCAAGGTTTGTGCTTGTGTTGTTTTTTTTTTTTTTAAATAAACTTGCAAGCATGTAAAATAATTAGGACATATTTAGTCTGTAGCAGTTCCTTACTTTTTCCAACCAAGTATTATCAATTCTTTTTTCCCTAAACTTAATTCTCAAATGTGTGTAGCTGACAAAGAAGACTTTGTAAAAATAGTCACGGTCTTGAATAATTCACTTATAACTACCTTAAGAACGTATTTGCTGATATATGCTATGGTTTGAAGGCTAAATCCAAATTATGGCTTTGCCCTAGAATATGCCAATTTCACCAGGAACTGTAATTTAACGCACCTCATGGCAGTACTCATCTGCTCTTTCCAGCTGTTACCTTTGATAAGTTACTAGAAACCACAGAGTTGTCTAATGTTTCACATTACTAGCGGTATCTACAATTGGTAACATGGTAGTTTGTCAAGTAAAGACAGAAAGAAAACAGTTATAAAGCATCAAGGAAAGTGTCAAACACTGACTATGTGCACTACACACACTGATAGGGAATTCTTGCAATAACTTAGGAGTCTGCACTTTACTCCTAAGTGGTAAATACTTGCCTAAATAATATTTATAGAAGAACTTTGATTAAATGTTTTTCAGTTGGTTTTCGCTAACCTTTTAAGTAACAAGAGATCTGATCAAGAGGAGGATTTCATCTCACTTTGCAAGAAGCCAAGATCATATCCATTTAAGGACACACGAGCAGCTACAGTCACACATTTTTGTTACCCACAGGAAAGGGGAGGCTGAGTTTATTCTGCTATAAGCACTCTAAAAGTTACAAAGAGAGTCTCCAAAACTAAACATTCAATCTAAAAATCAGGATTTGCATGTGCGCTGATTTACATCATGTAATGTAAAAGCAATAAAGTATCTGAAGAGAGAGCAAGACAGCAATGCTCGGCTCTGCAGAAGGACTCAGTTCTACCTAAAAACAGCACAGAACTACAAGTGTCATTCTACTTTCTAAAGTTTTTCTTACATTTCAGACAAAAAAAAAAATGTTAGGTTAGTGCAAAAACTTTCAGAAACGCTCCAGCACTTAAATTTCAACACTTGAAAACCTGGTCAACAATGCCTCATTGCCATACAACTGACAGGAACCTACAGCCATTCTTTTCCAAAAAGCTATCGTTGGTATTATACCAGCTTACTAAAAGTCTATTTGGTTTTTGTGGTAATATAATGTAGCTATACAAACAATCTTAAGGACTTAAATTTATATCTTACTATATTTCTGGATACAATGCATAGCTATTGGAATGTGGAATCACTCAAGAAAACAATGTTAAGGTCCCAACTGAAGAAAATACAACAAATTAAATACCCCTCCTCAACTATAAGAAAAATTGTTTTTCAAAACCCAAAGCAATTATTAATCTAGTTTCCTCATACACATTCTCTCCCCTATACCTAGACAGATATGAAGCACAAATATAAAAAGGAACAGGAAAAGGCATCAAACACTGCCTAAGGATGCTTGCTGCACCCAAAGCTGTAGCCCTGAAGACCGCAGGCAGCTCCATGGACACTGCTCCTGTTAAGCCCACACCATCCCTCTCACACTAGCTACCTGCATTCCATCACAAGGATCATTTTAGTTCTTCTACACCACCAGTAGTATATAATTATCTCCAAGTCTGAAGATGTATAACTCTTTATCTACTATAAAACTGTATCTTCAAGCTTGCTTATTTTCTTCTCAGTTATCTGCTACACACATTTTAAAATTAAAAACTAAATGTAAAGCATAAAGTGTTAATGGCTTTCCAAAGCTAAAGTAAGATAAATTCTAAGACTAGGCTGTGATAAGAACATAGCTAACTAACCAATCACAGCATTAGAATTCCGACGTGACATCACAAGACCTCCCTAGAACACTTTTTCTCCTCCACCTACTGCAACTGTTCCCATAACCTTGGGAAGAGAAAACTTCCCAGCTAAACTCCTCTGAGACTTCATACAACTTCATATTCTGAGCTGTGATGATCACAGAAGCCAAGGTAAGACATGATATCACTGTTTTGGGAAACCCTTGCTTTCTGTAATTCAAACTAAACTTTTAAAAGAATCCTTATCTTCCAAATTCCAATTCAAAGGCAGAGAATAAAAGAATCTTTTATGAATGACAAAATGCTTAATTTCTAGAAAAATGCTTGCCCATTTACTGAGAGTAAAAGTTAGGCAACTTTAAAAGAGGTTTTATACATCTTTAAATTTTGGCTACTGTTTTGGTTTTCCAAACATGAACTTCTTCCAATTTAAAACCCTCTCAATTATAATAGCATATATGGTAGTGGAGGTAAATTAATATTCGTGTAAAAGAAATGGCTTCATTTGTTGTGTGTTACTCTGCTGAGACCGTGCAGGACAGGGGCACTGACTGCTGTGGGACACACACCCTGCTAGCATACTTACTCTGATGCTTTCATTATGGTTCTTAATGTGACATAAGAGATTTTAAGAATAGATAACAGAGCTCCTTTTTAAATATTTAAGAAATTTTACTCTCTAGAGTCCAGTCAATTCTAAACATTTCTAGAACTTCCATTTTCATAAACAGAAAGGGTTGTTTTAAGTTTGATACTATAAACAAGTTAGAGATTTTAGCTAGTTTTTTTTTAAGTGACAGAAAAATAATTCAAACCTTTAAGGGGGAGGTCGTCTTGGTATACAAATATTCCTAAATAGGAAAAAAATTATAAATGTATATTCATCTAACAACAGAATATACTTTTGTCAAGTTTTTATTCTCCAATGTTCTTAAATTTCCTGTTATAAATTTATAAGAACACAAGAAAAAACAAAATGCCCAGGAATGGAGATGCCATAAAAAATTTTACTATTGTTACAAACCTCAGCTTAATAAAATGTTTTCGCACCCTTAAATCTATTAGACCACATAGAAAATTATATCACTTTTTATTTATAACATACGCATACGCTAAAATAAAACTTTCTCAATTCCTCTAATAGTAACTGTCGCTTATGACAAACAAAACTTTGAAGTCTCCTAGGCAGCATTCTTAACATGCAAAAACATTTCCAGTACGTGTCTCTAATACTCAGGAGCCTTAACCTGCCTCTTAATACTTTAGCATTCATAAAAACACTTGTCTTTTGATGGTACACAAATGACACTTGGTGCCAAGTTTTGATATGCGTTTTTTTGTGGTTTTTTTTTACATTTTTATTTATCAGCGCTTGCGCACTCGCTGTGTGTGTGTGTGTGTGTGTGTGTGTGTGTGTGTGTGTGTGTGTGTGTAAGAGATATATGGGGGAAAGAGCACCATGGCCTGTTTGTGAAGGTCAAAGGATAATTTGTAGGACTCGGTTTTCCCCTTCCACCATATAGATTTCAGAAATTGAACTTGTTGTCATAAGGCTTGGCAGCAAATGCCTTCCTGGCCTTTACCCACTGAACCATCTCCCTGCCCCTAAATTTTTTCTTTAAAGCCTATAAAATAATATTCTCAAACTTCAATGATGTGTGCTAAAATATTTTTTCAATGGAGAGAGAGGGTAGATAATAAGTTTCTTTCCACCAGAATTTTCCTACATCACATTTTGTTCCAAAAAGTAGACAACTTCTAGAAAAAAATACAAATTCTGTCATTAAAGTATCTTTAACAGGTTAAGAGGGAGTCATAATTAGGGGCTGTGATTAAAATTATATATATATACACACATATATATATATAACTAGATATGTTTGAATTGCATTTCTCCATAGCTTTACAGTGACATTGAAGTAATGTTTTATTCTTTAAAACCAAGCACTAAAAAGTCAGATAAATTTCTTCAAATAGAAGAAATGTAAAAGACAAATTATGAAATAAAAACTTTTATCATGGAAAAAAGAATGAGATCATTTGCTTTTCCAAGAGGAGTTGCATCAATGTCATTTTCTAAAGAAAATCAAAATAATTTTATAAATATATTTTGATAGACATAAAGGGAAATCATTACATCTGGGTCAACATACAAATGTAATGTTTCAAATGTTGTTTCTTAATCTCACCAAATTAAGACTTATTATTTTCATTAAATTGTTCAAGTAATTAAAATCTTAATATATAAAATTATTGAATTATAAATTACAGGGATTATATAATTTAAATTGTATATTAAAAATAAATAAGTATAGATCACACCTCTATAACGCAAATAGCAAACTTCCTTATTCTGACAAACAATTTCCTAAGTGCACTTTTACACAAAGACTCTCCCTGATCTTAATTCTTTATGTGTTTGGTCCTGCATCTCTACATCACAATTTAGAAAACAGATTCAAAAAGGGTGAGCTGATCAGCTTCACAGAACGACGTGCAAATAGAAGAACATTAGCAAGCAAGGCCATGTGTGCATCTCATCCTAGTCACTTATTAGCATGGTTAAAACAAGGCATCACACTGACAGAGAACAGTAAAGAAAGTGTCCTGGAAATGGTACTTTTTTATAAAGACTAATGCAGAGGATGCAACTTCCATTAACTTAAAAATGTGCTCCATTTCGTTTTAAGATCCATCAAGTGTTGTATCTTTACTACTCTGTATGTTATTTTAGATATCATTTTCAAAGCCAGGCATAAAATAATCATTGATACCAAGCAGTAAGTTCTAATCAGAAATGTCCAAAGTAATCACAGATATTAACATACCACAGTCAATCAAATTAAAATCTTCAGTTACTTATAGCTTGCTTCATTGATAAAAATATGCCTCCAACCCATTTAGGTTTGTTACCTAAAAATCAGATTAACTTTTCCCTAAAGCTGCACAAAACTTCGATATTTTATTCCACTCTCATATTCAATCAATTTCCTTTCTTACCCACTCACTCTACCATTTTAACTACTCAAGGTCATTGTTTTCAAGGTTCCTGAACAAAAGAATCTGGCTTTGTTATCTTCATTAAGAAAATAATTTTTATCTACTGTGTGAATTCACACACTAACAAAATCAAAAATTAATTGGGAATCAAGGACAAAATCCTTCTAAGTTATAGCAGCATGAACAGATAAGACGTAGTCTCTTCAGACATTTCCAAAAACAGTGCATCGGTATCCTTACCTGCCACAAGTCTGAAGCATGCATTACCAAATAAACATGGGAAAATATAGCCTGAGTATATGCTCCTCCCTCCCCTCCGGCAGTCAACTGAGGCCCTCTAGTGCTGTCTAGAGTGTACTTCTCCAGGGTTTTCAAAAAGAGCTGAGTTAGGTGAGTGGGGTGAGTTGGATGTGTAGGGGGGTTGTATATTTGCCAAGTGTTATTCAGTTTTTCTTAGTACTTCCCTAACACTCTCTCCCTACATTCTCTTTCTGAAGCCTCAACATAAGCTTAAAAAACACTTTTATGGTGGCACACACTTGTAAATCCCAGATGAAGCAGGACTGTAGAATTCAAAACTAACCAGTATGACACAGTAAGACCAGCATGGACTATACAGTCCAAAACCAAAACTATGTTAATACAAACAAATACATGCATTTTAACATTAATGAAAATAAATCTACAGACAAAAGAGCCATAGCCATATGCCAATTTCAATGGGAAGATCCCCATCCTGATCCCATCCATCCTGTTGTTCAATGACTCCTCATCAAGATGGAAATTTAAACAGAGTATTTCTTTATTGGGCCAATTTAGAAATCAAAGACATTTTATTATGACCAGTTTTTGTCACAACCAGGTAGAAGCAGCTGGGAAAGGGGTGCTGTTGCCACAAAGGAACTTCAAACAGTACTTGCCAGTTTGCAGTTTGGCCATCTTAAACTTTTATCACAGTGACCTTGCACAAACTAACAGGTTGATTATAAATCTAATGATAAACCTGTAATTTGTAGTTTAGCAAGTTAAAACAACAAGAAACAAACCAATTTCTGTCTTATTTAAAGTTATGGTAATAAATAGCTGAAGGGATAATACAAAAGATAAAAACTTCCAACTACTTTTTTTTTTTTTTGGTTTTGCAAGACAGGGTTTCTCTGTAGCTTTAACTGTTCTAGATCACTCCGTAGTCCCAGCTGGTCTCAAACTCACTGAAGTCCACCTGCCTCTGCCTCCGAGTTCTGGGATTAAAGATGTGCGCCACCACTGCCTAGCGAAATAAATGAAGACAAATCCTGTTCACTCAAACTTAATAGAGAATTCCAATCATCTAAGTTAATCAAATAGAAAAAATACTAAATGTGTCTGTCAGACTGTGGTCCTAGGTATTCGATATTTGAATTTTCAAGCAAAATGTATCCAGGTTTCTTAAAAGCACTATAAACAAGTAGACAAAAACAAGGGGGCAGCAAAAGCCTACAGTAAAACTAAACGTGAGGAGTCTCAAGAATGAGGCTTTGGCAGAAGCAATACCCCAAACCCTAAAATTCAGAACGTTCTTCAAGGCAATGAAAGTGTTTAGAGTGGGGATTCCTATTCATCATATACAAAGGTGCTAATGTGTCAATTACCTGTAAGTCATAATAAGACAGGCCACCAAATGTTTTCCAAATCTCTTGGGTTTGTTTTTCAAAGAATATACCTAACATGTTATTAAAGTAGGATTCACTGCAAAGCCTCAAACTCCCAGAGCTCCCACCTACCTCTCCCTCTCCGTCTCAGGTTCTAGGATTAAAGCAGACACTACCACACCTGGTAGTATGACACTTGAAGGATTGCAGCTGCCTGCAGTGTTCCTCTTTCCAACTTAATTTCTAAGTTCCATCCAAGCTCCCACTAAGAAAAGTAAAGAACTGGTGATAGCATTCAGTCCTTGCAAAGATTAGAACAGATCCCACATACACACAACACAACACCGGTTACTCTAACAGATCCCACATACACACAACACAACACCGGTTACTCTTCTGCCTCTTCCATACAACTCAGAGACATGATCTGGCATTTCCCACAACCAAGCATACATCTTTCTCATTTTCAGTACTCCAGTACTACAATCACGATGATTAAATTTTAAATTAGTCTGTAAGTGAATAGTCTCCTTGTCCCTATCAAACATCCAATAAACATATATGGCCAGCCTTTTAAAAAAGGATGTGGGAGGCTAATTTTACATCCCAACTAATCTATTTCTAAGATCCTAAAAGAGATGAGTTATATTGTTCATCAAATATTAGTGTATTAAAGTATTATTATAAAGAACGGAAAAGAAGTGATCGGTGCAGAACAGACAAGACCACCTGACCCCCATGTTACAAACTGTGACATCTGTAGCGAGATACATAAATCTAAAATTAGGTCTGCACTGTTCTTAACTCTCAGCTTTCCAAATCTCAACAGATGAAAGGAAGCCCCCATGGAGGAATGTAGCTAAGTCATTATCCAACAGATTTAGAAGTCTAGCAAAATACCAACTATAGCACTGTAAAATAACCTGAGCAAAAAGCATACATGCATACCGTGCACATTTCTTCTTATAAAGCAGATATGCTTTCAGTTTTAGCCAAGATTACAAACTTGCTACAAATCACTTTATAATTATGACAAGTTTCTAAGCTTGTTAGTGCTTGGTCTGGTCACTATTTGTCTTTTATATCCAATTTTCTCATCAATTGAACAAAACCTTCAATAAAAAGTGTTGTGAGATGATGCTGTAAGTGTATCAATCATTTTTATTTTATTGCAGATTTATTTTTTATTTATATATGCGTGTGTGTCTGTGTGAAAGTCTGACAGGATGTTTCATTCCCTGGAGCTTGGAAGAGCGTCTAACCTGAGTGATGAGGAGCGAGCCCACACATCCTGTGGAAGGGCAATTAGTGCTCTTAATCACCGAGCCATCTCTCCAGCTTCAAAAGTATATTTTTAGTAGTTGACAGCATATCTCTTTGTATCTCACAAACACCAAATACTCACTTTTATAAAGCTTAATTCAGTTTAATGTTGAGTTAAACAAGAAAACATTAACTTAGGAAACAACTCCTCTAAGCTATATTTTCTTCATCTATGAATAGAAGAGATTTAAGAAAAATACTAGCGCTGATGAGTTTAATATCAAATCCTATTAATCAAATTGGTTAAAATGGTTAATTACAATACTGCATTTTTAACTATTTTCTAAAAATTTTAGTCATAAGAAACTTATCTAACTTTATAGATTTAATTAAATCATGCTAACTTTATGCACAGAGATACAGAATGAACATACATGCTCCCTTCACTTATATAATAGAAGCTCAAGTTGGGGACACTAACATATATATACTGAAATTATAGCATAGTCGGATATATATCCTGACCTAGTGACAAAAAATACTATTAAAACTTGGCAAAGTTGATGATTTCTACTTACTGACTCGAAAGGTCTTATCAGGTATGAACCTGAATTACAAGTATGAACCATATCTTTTAATAACCACTGAACCATTACAAAAAAATATACATAGACTCAATAGGGATTGCCAATACTAATTCTTATTTCTCTCAAAACTATACTTCATTATATATCTTCCTATAAAATGACTTGTCAATATTAAATATATAAATGCTCCAACACTATAAGTTCCCTAGACCTATAATAAACTAACAGAAGCATGTACTAATTGAAGGATACATTTTATTTAAAAATTTACTTTATTCCTACAGCATTGTATCTGGAGAATTCAAACAGACAATAGAGAACACATGCTAGACACACACAAGCTATTACTACTCTTGAGAACAGACTTTTGTATAAATTGACCCTGTGTGGCTCTTTATCATGGGCACACACATGAAGGACAGAACACACACCAAATGAAATCCAATTCACTACTATAATACAAACCATAATAGAGCCACGCTGAAGCTGAGAACTACGGCATCTGACTGGCATACAGCACATAGTTTCTTTATAAAATAAACACCAAGCTCTGACTGGTTCTGCTTAGTCAAATCTTCCCCTTTCCCAGTCTCCTTACTCCTCTCCTCAGCACTTGTCTCAGGGGTGGGGCCAACAGCCTGAGGTAAGTTCCCAAATATGCACAGAGCCAAGGGAGGAAATCCAACTGCCAGCTAGTCTGTGATAATATCCTGCTGACAGTGATGCATCAACAAATTAGACACAGTGGTCTCTAGACAGTAAATTACTGCAAATTTTGTTTCTTTTTATTCTTCCTGTTTTACAACTGGCACAAAAATGTTCTGACAAAAGAGACAAACATTAGTCCAGCATAGTAGTACAGGCCAGTAATCCCTTTACTTAGTATGCAAAGGCAGAAAAGTGGCCTCCAGTTTGAGGCCAGACTGATTATATAGTAAATGTGCTGAAGACAGCTCACTTAGTTTATTTTAAACTCGTATCTAATTTCCTATTAATAAGCTTTATTTTGTTGTGTTTATTAATTATCAGTGTTTTAGACCCTATGCAGCAATGGCTTAGGAACTTTGAAAGAAGGCCACTACAGGTAAGCAAGAATAACTGAAAATTGGAACTGTCCATGGTAGTTTAGTACAATAATTATTACTGTGTCTTCCAAGCTTAGCAGTCTTTAGTACTCATTAACATCATGTTAAAGCATTTAACATAGCCTTCTACAAGGGACCAGACAAGGGAGAAGTCAGGAGGAGGACATCAAAGGTGTAAATCATAAAGGAGAATGGCAAACAGCTGGACTCTATTTTTATTTCATATTTAACTTCTCAGTGAACTATTTTATTTTGAACTAAAATTAAAATCCAGAATACAATTTACTATATGCATCTCAATTGTGTTTACAGAGAGATTTAAAGAAATCATAGCATTCCATAAACCAAGTAGCCAAAAACTACAGTTCCTACAGCTCAAACAAGACAAATGAGACTGTGAAGTAACATATGAGATATAGAAACAGAGAGATCCTGGAGCCCAGAGACAGTTGATGTTATAAGACACAGAGATGGGGAACACAATGTGCATATCTATCTAGAGAATGGGTATAGGTATTAACCTAATTCCATTTACTATTCTTACATTCCAGGCCTCCTAACAGAAGACAGCTCACATTTGCCTGCCTACAACCAGCTTTTTATCCTTCTCTTGACTACTCAAAAACTTCAGGTTTCCTGCTATTGCCTTCCTGCTCTATTGCATCATGGAAAAGGTCCAATACCTCACTCGCTCTGCTATCAGGAGAGCCTCAACTATTGAAATGCCTCAGCAAGCACGTCAAAATCTCCAGAATCTATTTATCAACTTCTGTCTCATCTTGATATGTCTCCTGCTGATCTGCATCATCGTGATGCTTCTATGAAGTGCTGCCACCCACCTCCAGATCTGTAACATGCCAGCTCAGCTTCAAGCCAGCACTCCCTCAAGAGGGCAAACAATACAGCCTACTCCCTGCCTGAATGTCTTTCTGAAGGTCAAGATTAAGAGGGAAGCAAATTGTTAGCCAATGTATTCATCTACTGGATCTTGTAAACAAACTTTACAATGACTAAGTATGCATAATGTAGCCGCCAATTTCCTCAAAATGGTCCATAAATATCTTTCCTAATTATTTCTGAGAATGAAGTATGAGTTTTAATTTTGAAAAAGCACTACAAAAAAGTTCACTTTCTACACCCAGCACTAGCTGTACTGATAAGAAACTCACTTTATAGGTCCAGTTATTTTTTTTTACAGGAACTAAGCATTCTTCAAATCTCCACAAAATAGAAAAAAGATCATTTAAATGAAGTGTTCTTATTCAAAATAGCTCACTGGATCCTCACGTGTGTGACTAGTAGTAGTAGTAGTAGTAGTAGTAATAGTAGTAGTAGTTGTAGTAGTAGTATTACCATATTATTACACAGAAGTCTTGGTAGTTATCCTGTCAGAATAAATACCTTGAAATACAGATCATATCATTTATACACTAATTTTTTTAAGTTTATGAGAATCAAATAGGGAAAAGATCAGATTCTCATATAAATAAAATTCCTTATCACTAATTTTTCTCAAGGATAAAGGAATTCAAGTACATTTAAGTTAACCACAAATCTGCTCTCTCTAGGGTTTGGTGATCAACAAGCAAGAATATCTTACTGTGTGGCTGTGACAATTACTAATAGAAGGACATTGACATGGATATCCTTGGTTTTATAGGGTTTCTCCTATTCCAATCAGATTTTCAAAAACAGGAAACGGTATTTCGAACATTGTACAATTTTAAATTCTGAACTCTCTCTCTCTCCAAATACTAATTCTTTCATTTTACTTAAGTGTAAAGCTTTATTCTGAAATATTCTGTCTTCCTCTATTGCCCAGAGAATAAACATTTGCCTTACTAAATTTAATAGAACTAGCAATATTACTTTATAATTCTTGTTGAATATGTTTTAAATCTTCCTAAATTTTTAAATATCTTCTATTAACTAATAAAATAGAACAAAAAATTATGTTGGAAAATATATTCACCAAAAAAATTAGTAACTTAAATTACTTTGGATAAAATATAAAACAGGCCGGACATTGGTGGCGCATGTCTTTAACCCCAGCACTCGGGAAGCAGAGGCAGGCGGATCTCTGTGAGTTCAAGTCAGCCTGGTCTACAGAGTGAGTTCCAGGGCAGCCTCCAAAACAATACAGAGAAACCCTGTCTCAAAAAAACAAATATATATATATTAGACCTCTACTTTGTAATCCCCTAATTTTAAGTCCAGTGCAAGATATGTTACCAATGCAACAATTACTAAGGAAGAGAAATTGTAATTAGACACACTTTAAACAAAGATTACAAGGATATAAAGCATCAATATTCACTTTTGTTTCTAACATGAGTGTCCTTAACCAAGATGCTCATTCACACTGTCTGAATCACTCGTAGAAAGGAGATATTTGGGTCAGAAGTTATAAAGAGCAGTCAAAAGGAGTGCATGTTAACAGGGTTCTCTCCAGTGAGGGTTTGAGATTCCCACAGACAGAAAATAAATATAAAGTATGGATGACATAATCATCTAAAGCAGTGATTCTCAACCTTCCTAATGCTGCAACTCTTTAATACAATTACTCGTGCTGTGATGACCCCCAACCCTACAGTTATTTTCACTGCTACTTCATAACTGTGGTTCTGCTACTGTTATTAATCATAATGTAAATATTTTGGAGATAAAAGTGTTTGTAGGCGGTTGCAACCCACAGGTTGAGAACCACTAATAAAAGATCTGAGTAATTACCTACACAAAAATACACACGTTCTGTAGCTGGCTGTACTGATAGGAAAAGTGAAAGTGCCACTGAAAAAGTCCCATGTCTTTCATGATATTGCTCACTACCACATCAACGTCAAGGTTAATGCCATCAACTTACAGTTCCGTACAACACGTTCTTGTCGTTTTCATTCTGTCTTTAATAGAGTTACAATCTGATCCTGTGAGGATTCCAGAATACTGTAGTTCATTAAAGTGAGGAACAAAAAGTCCATTCTATAAATGCAAGCTTATTCTGTTTAATCATGATTAATCATGATACACAGAGTAAGTTGTAAAGAAAGAATAAAACTTTGAAGAACAATGAAGTAAATTATCTTAATTTGCAGGATACTAAAAACAAACTAATTTTTAAACATAAGTTTATCTGTAAAATATAATCAGAATCACCTATATTCAAATGAATATTTGGCTTTAGTGAAATTGCTATACAATTATATGCTAGTGGCTAGAAAATTTTCTAATTATAAAGAGTTTTGTGTTGTAAAGGTCTGAGGGGGTACTTTTCCCAAATAAAGTAAAAATCAAAATTTTCTAAAACAAATAAGAGAGGGGGTACCTCCATAAAATAATGATTTTTCTGCCAGATATTGTTTAGCCTTGTTTTTAAGTCTTTTGAAAAAATTGCAATATGGTGAATCACATAAAAAGGTTCGGTTTTATGCTAATAGCCATTGTAATATCTTGAACCTACATGTTAAATTATATAAACATGACATTGTATACTGTCATCATCGTGTCTCTCAGAATGCAGATTATCTCAAAGTCAAAGACACAACAGCATGCAAAAATAGTGAAGACAAGGAAAATTTCAAAGAACATAATAAAATCCTTACAAGCTAGAAGTCAGACTTTTTATGCACAATCGACTTTGAAGAGAAAGGTCTTTTATGTTATTCATCAACAAAAGAGATTCCATTAACATGTTAAAATACCCTTGACTGATCAAACCACTTTATGATTCATATAGGCACAAAATTTCATTTTCCTTCATAATTATAATTTTTCTACTGTTACATATCAATGCAAGTATCTACATTTTCTGATGGTCTTGTGCTATCCCTGTGAAAAGTTTGTTCAAACCCCCAAAGGGGTCACAATCCACAGGTTGAGAACCTGCTCTAAAGCATATAGGAATGTTTTCCATTAGTTGTCTTCTCTCTCCCTCTACTGTGTTCTAAGAAGATTTAAAACTGAGTTTTTTTTCTCCACAGTGTACATCACATCAACCCCTTTATCCAAATCAAGAAATTTACCCATTAGCATGTTATCCACAGACTCAATAGGGGTTGATACACTATGTTTCTCTATATCTTGGATTATCATAAAGTAGTTCCTTTAAAGCTGATTCAACCCATGATAGTCAATTCATTTAACAACAGCAGTTGACTTATAAGCATAAATACAAAGAAACCATTACCAAAATGGTACAAATAACTGGGTTCCACCTTCTCGTTTTGTAGAAGAAACTAAGACCCAAAGAAATTAAGTGACAAGTCACAAGACACTAGGTTCTCAGTACCTAAGACTAAGTCCCAAAAATCTAACAGTTCTACAACAGAAATGAGTGCACACCCATGGTTACTGGCATTCATAGCAGCTAGAAGCGAACCCAGCCTAGAAGTCCATCAATATATGAATGGGAAAGAAAATGTGGTACATATAGACAATACAATTCTACTTGGCCATAAAGAAAACTGAAATCAAGACATCTGCATAAAAATGAATGGGACTTGAGATTACTATAGTAAGCAAAGTACCCCAGACCCAGAAAGACAAATACCAAATGCTTCCTCTCACATTGTAACCTAGTTTTTAATTTTAACAAATCTAAGGGTTAACAGTTACCAAACTACAAAGGGCTAAAATGGAGGAAGAGTTAAAAAGAGGGTAGCAAATTATATGTGACAAGAGAGCAAAACATGTCTTGTGGGAAGAGGAGGGGAACCAATAGAAGGAAACTGGACTGGGGGTGGGGGAGCAGAGAACCAAGAAAAACAATGTATGAAAATCCCATAATAAGCCGGGCGGTGGTGGTGCACGCCTTTAATCCCAGCACTCGGGAGGCAGAGGAAGGCGGATCTCTGTGAGTTCGAGGCTGGGCTAGACCGATAAGCCTCCAAAACAATACAGAGAAACCCTGTCTCGTAAAATACAAAAAACAAAAAACAAAAATCCCATAATAAAATCAACATTTTGTATAAAAGTTTTTAAAAACTTTATAAAGAAAAAGAAAAAATCAGGCCTTAATATGATATGATCAGAAAAAAGAGCTATTTTTCTAAATTAATTTTCTGTTATACCATGTATAAAGAAATGTGGAAATATGTTTTCTTTTTACACGTACTTAATAAATGATAAAGCAAAGGTCAAATTTAGCACAGTGTTTAAGGTTCTCATGTTAATTTATCTCAAAGGATTTGTTTTTATAACCAAAACAGCATGTCAAATGTATAGCACTTATGGAGATAGAGAAAAGAACCTGTGGTGTAGGCAGTCATATACTTACTGCAATAAACAAAATATCCACTGGAGGGAAGCAAACACTAGGTTTTAAGGCTTACCTGCATTGGTGTTTCACTTCCTTGCTGAAACTCTTCAATTTGTGGCTGTTGCCAAGGAGCTAAACTGTAAGAATCTTCTGTAGTTCTGCCTTCCAATGGGTTTGTTCGTAACTGCTCTGTAAGCCACATCTGAGTCCTCACAGAAGGTTGAATGGGAACTCCACCGACTGCCTGCTGGCCAAGCATCAAATACTTGGGAGACTCAAAAGTCTCTGAGCCTGTCACAATGGGCTTGCTCTCAGGTAAGGCACTGTAAGTCATGTCTAAGGTTTGTCTCCTGAGAGCAGAGGAGGAGGCTCTGGTGTCCTCTTTGTTGTAGCTCTCAAATTTATACTTGCAGTCCAGAGTTGATGACCGCTTTTTATTTATTTCCTTGTCTTCTAGCTTAAGCATCTCCATACTGTCATGTAAGCAACTGGGCCCAAAGGTCCTTAGGTGAGGTGGCAAATTCTTGCCCTTCCCTGTCTTTTCCAAATCATTTCTCAACTCTTCCGTGTATGCAATGCCACTCTGGTTGCAGTTATCCGGGGCAGTAAGTTTGGACAAAGATGACCATTTCCGTAGGGGCCTGAAGTCCTTCATGTCTAGTGAGGAGTCCTGCTCCCCTCTACTGTGGTCTCCCAGAGTCTGCATAAGGCTTGTAGTCCACTTAGAGCCATCTGATGCTACAGATTCCCTGTGTTTGGAAATTGAAGCACTGGAGTTAGATGGCATCACATGGGCAGTGGGAAGAGTAACCAATGATCGACTAGGTTTAAAAGATAGTGTGCCACTTGAAGTTGAATGATCTGAAACGAGGAAAGATTGTCATGTCAGTATCAGTTAACAGTTTAAAAACACAAAATATAATATAAAATCAAAAATGCCACAGTAAAAATCTGGATGTGACTTCCAAGTACGTATTTCTGAGTTTCTTCCTTAAAATAAGGCAATTGCTAGGACTATTATCACTCTAAGGTTATCAGAAATAATTTAACATACTTTCAAACATCACTATACCCATTTCTCTGCTCTGTTTCCCATCTGCTCCCAATGATCCCCTCCATAGCCATCTACTGCTATGTCTATACATTTGTGTATTCTTGATAAGCGAGTTTCCTTGAGGTTGCTGTAGGGTACAGGAAGAGGGATAATTTACAGGGCACACACACTCATTAGTTACCCACTGAAGAAAATGCCTCTCCCTCCTAGTGGACCACTAAGTGGCCATAGATGCTCAGGGAGCAGCGGGGTCTCATGAGACCTAGTCTCTTAGCTACTGTTATCTGCCTATAGGGACGGGGCCTGGGATGTCCATGGGTCCTTCTTCTTCTTCCTCTCCCCACATGACACAATGTTGGCAGGCCCAATCTTGCGCAGGTCCTATACTAGGAGTCATAACTGCTTGAGATCAAGAGTGCAATGGTAATGTCATTCTTAGGAGTGTTCCAATTCATCCCACTCCTCCTCTGTCTGGCTCCCGTGTTCTTTCCACCCATCTTCTGCTATGCTCCCTGAGCCTTGAAGTGGGTGATATAGGACTCCATTTATGGCTCAGAATTCAGCAGCCCCTTATTCTTGGCACTCTGGCCAGTTCTAGACTCTGCAGTTACTGTCAATTTTAAAAACAATCAAAGGCTGGTCTATTTACATACATATGTACATACATAACATGCACTTACAGCACATGAATAAATAAACAGGGTCTCAAATATCTGACAGTAAGAGCGTCTTGTGGGGACTGACTATTACTTCTGAGTTAAGAGAAGCATCTAGAAAGTGTTAACTGTGTAAACCCTTTAAAAATATTATTTTTCTCAGGAAAACTAAAGATAGAAGCAATGTAATGTGCTTTAAGTTACCTAATTGTAGCCACAAGTCTCAATGGAAGCTATGGTCAAATCATCTAGTCCACATCTAAACTGCCACAGTACAATCTGAAACTAGCTGAAAAGCAGTCCTTTTAAACTAGAGAACAGGATTTGTAGCACTCAGGAAACAGTAAAAGAGCTAGTGACATGTTAACACTGTTTAAGGACATCACTATAACCTAGCAATGTAAGTAGATTACATTTAAGATAACACTTCTGAATTTTTAACAAAATCTCAGCTTTCTGTTATTTTTATCTATGAACACATTGATTCTATCTTCTCTTACAAAGAACCTCCCCTCCTCCACATCTTCTCTGATTTTACTCTCCTGTAACAAGAAGGAATTAAATGATCTAAATGATAATAATAAATCATAAGTTTTTAGTTAAAAATAAAACCTCAAATCAAAACATTCTGATTTAAAATGTAGGACCATCATTATTAATCAATATAAATTGCAATAATATTTTACTTTAGCCACAAGACAATCATTTTTACGTATCATGATAGGTTTTTTCTTTCACTTTCTTGCTAATATCATAATCACAGTGTACTATAACATATGGGGAAAACATTTTTATACCACAAGTAATCTCTTCCTTTTTAAAATTAATATTTCAAAGTAATCTGTCTATCTTAGGTAAATATTTTATGTATACTTTAACCTACAACCATAAATTTAGCAACTGGCCTATAGCGGTTATCTAACTTAACCAAGCCCAGAACCCAAAATAAAAACAGGGGCTTTTTCTCCATCTAAATGGTAGCTAGACAACACCACACTGACTGTTCAGTGCTTTCGCCTCTGTGTTCATTCTAAGCATAGGCATGCCAGTGTTAAGAAAGGCCTTAGAGGTGCTAGAGAGACGGCTCAGTGGTTATTATGAGCACTGACTGCTCTTTCAGAGGTCCTGAGTTCAATTCCTAGCAAACACATGGTGGCTCACAATCATTAGTAATGAGATCTGGTGCCCTCTTCTGGCAAGCAGGTATACATGCAGGAGGAATACCATATATATAATAAATAAATAAATAAATCTATTTTTAAAAAAAAGGCTTTGGAGTGAGAGGTGAGATAATGTTAGTTGTGCCACCTGGAAGAACTGCAATGTCTGTACATATTACTCTAAAGTTTCCTGATTAATATAATATCCTTTTGAGCTTAAGTAATTCACTATAGAATTAGTGAGCTTTCAAGTCAAAACTTCAAAAGCTACAGAATTTTTCTTGGTTCTCAGATGATTATCTGAGAAGGCATTACACAGGAGCCTCTAGGTTACAGAAGAGAATGAGCTGCTTAACGTAAAAGTGCAAAACAACCCTAAGAAAACAGAGCATACACTCTGCAACTTTCAAATCCCCCATCTACTATCTTCGCCACATCATTATAATAAATTTTAAAGTTTGCTAAGAGAACAAATAACAAAAGTATTGTTTAAAGCTTTGAGCACAGTTCCCCTGCTTCGTTTTTAAATTCACTTTAGTTCTAGCTACTCTCCAGCACTTTTTATGCCTTTCCATTTAACCTCACAAACTGTGTAGAACACTACACAGAATGTTGTCTTTGTGTCACACCATACTTAAGATACACTAAAATAAAAGCCTCCTCTCTTTTCTCTTCCCTCTTCCCTCTGCTCTCTCTCTCTCTCTCTCTCTCTCTCTCTCTCTCTCCACACACACACACACACACACACACACACACACACACACACACCAGTAAATGAGTTCATTTCAAAATCAGTCATAGCTGGGTGATGGTGGCGCATGCCTTTAATCCCAGCACTGCGGAGGCAGATCTCTGTGAGTTCAAGGCCAACCTGGTCTACAAAGCTACACAGAGAAACACTGTCTCGAAAACTACAAAAAAAAAAAAAAAGAAGAAGAGGAGGAGGAGAAGGAGGAAGGAAGGAAGGAAGGAAGGAAGGAAGGAAGGAAGGAAGGAAGGAAGGAAGGAAGGAAGGAAGGAAGGGAAGGAAAAAAAAGAAAAACGGTCCTTTGCAGACGTAATCAAAATTAGGATAACAGTCATACAGAATTAAGTAGACGCAAAAGCCATTGACTGGTATTTCCAAACATTTTCCTTATAAGGAAAAGAAAGAGAAACATCTGAAGACAAAGGGGACATGAAAAGGAGACAAGTATCAGAAAAGGGTGCAATGGGTTACCAGAAAAAAAGCCATGCCTTTTGCCTCAGGCCTTCAGAGGAAAGGGTTTTCCAACATCCTGGTTTTAGACAATCTCTAAAAACCTTCAGGGAGATAAAGGTGAAACTTCCCTTTGCAATTTACATCCAAGGAATAGATTCTAGATGGGGAGTTCACAACAGAAGCCATACAAACCTGGATCTGCAGCACTCAAGCCTTTCTGAAGACCCTGAGGGTCTTTAAAATTTTTTGAGGCTAATTTAGGGTCTAGTTACTTAGGGTTTGCTAATAATTTTAACAATGGGGGGGGGAGCAAGGTTCACAATTTAGCACTAGCTGGCATGGACCTCACAGACATCTGCCTGCTTCTGTCTCCCACATACTGGAATTATAAGTATGAGCCTCCACGCCCAGCTAAAATTGCTGAAGTTATTAATCTAATAATTCTCATAATCTTAACAACATTTTTCTTTTTATTATCTTCATATAGCTTTTTGTTCTTTTATCTAAGTTTTAGCAGAGTTTCAAGGGGAATATATAAGTATATGTGTCATCTTAACCTGAAAACTTGCTTGAATTTCTTCTTGTAAGATATAGAAAATATATAGGAAAAATGTGTGTTCCCATACACGCATAGTTAATTTAAATGGGTACTTAGTGAAATATTTAACCATTTTCCTTTTTTGTAGAGACTCTTAAAATTGTTTCACACTTTTCAGTGTTACAGTAAATATTCTTGTATATATTATATAGTTTCACCAACACAAGCTTACACTGAATGAGAACATGTATATGCTACCTATGATTTGTTTTCTGGTGGGTTCTTTTGTCTTTGATTTTCTAGTTGGCTAGTTTGGTTTGGTTGTAGTGCTGAAGATTGAATTCAGGGCCTTGTACATGATCCCTAAGCACTTTGCTGTTATACCCCCGAGCCTCACTTAGGAATAAGTTACATAACCCCTTGTTCTCCTCCCTCCCTCCTTTTCCTGTCTCTGTCTCTCTCTGTCTCTCTCTCCTCTCTCTCTCTCTCTCTCTCTCTCTCTCTCTCTCTCTCTCTGTGTCTCCCTCTCTCTCTCTCTCCCTCCCTCCCTCCCTCCCTCCCTCCCTCTCTCTCTCTCTCTCTCTCTCTCTCTCTCCTCTCTCTCTCTGGAAGATGGGGGAAGAAAGTAACTACTGTGCCTAGACTATAGCAACAGCAATAAAGATGTTATCACTGCCAAGGTGCCCCTCTAAGGAGTAACATTTTCAACTTTGCTCAAATCTGGCTATCACTGTGTATTTTGGAGAAAGGAAGGTCAGTTTCATTGGTAAGAATTGGCATCTCATCTGACATTCACTTTACTATGATGAAATCTGATCATCTTTTCAATCCTATAGTCATCTGCAATTCACTGAATAATTTCTTGTATTTTTTATCTGTGTTAAATAAAGTACTAAATACATAAAATTTTATATATGAATATGAACTTGTGGGCATTAGCTATATTTGTAGGAGCTCTTTAAGTGTTACCAATATTATCAGTTTTATTTAAAAATTTTACTCTGTATATCTCTTTTATTTTCTAACTTTAAGAAGTATAACAAAGTTTAAAAGTTAGAAATATTCTTATGCAAACTGACAATGAAATCAATACCCTATGGTCTAATAGCCAAGTTATGAGAGCTAGTAATACTTTAAAATGATTTAACAAAACAGCAGTGGAAAGAGAGAAAAGTTATTTTCCCAATACTGCAGTCTAAATACAACAAAAAGTATTGAACGTTATATATGAAACCTGAAAGGTTAGAGGAAG